TTAAAAATAATGATATAGCAAAAAACTTAAAAAATTCTCTTTTTTCTTTTTCCTTTTCTCCTTCTTCTTTCTTTACCTTGCCTTCTACAAACCCTAAAGACAAAACTTGCAATTACATCCTTTCATTTTCTTTCTCTCTCTATCCTTCTTTCAACAGTAGATCTAGACCAATCAAAGGAACACTGTCCCTTCCAATTTCTCTCTCTTGCTGGGTTTGAATGCTAGGTTCAAAGGAACCTAGTGGTTGTCGCTGGGTTCCTTCGAACACAATAGTTGTTGGGTCGATGGAACCCAACAACTGTGTTGGGTTCAATTTCAAACCAAGAAGCCCAGGGTGAAGCCACATGTAGACCAGGGAGCAATGGCCCCCCTTGGGGTTTGAAAAAAAAATATAATTAATTTGTTAATTATTATTATTAAAATTTTAAATATTGTATTTTTAATTGTTAAAATACATAAAATAAAAAAAGATTCAATAGTAATGGGCTGTTTTAGGAGCCCAAATATAATTTATATAATCCATTATCCATTTTAACAATTTAACTATTTATTATTATTTAAAACCCACCCATCTCAAGACTCACAACTGAATTCTGTAGAAAAAGAAAAAAAAAATGAAGAAAAACAAGTGCTCATGTCTTCTATGCTTTTTCTCCAAAATCCAGCTCCACCATTCCAGTGCCAATCTCCTTCGACCTTAACCCAACAACTTCAAAAATCGAAAAAAAGGACTTCGTCGGCGGCTCAACGCAAGCAACTGCAACATTGTTCTCATCATTGAAAGCTTAAAGACAAAAGGACCACCAAAAGGATCACTAACTTCTTAATAAAGACTAAAAACAACACTATCTCTTTTTATATAAATCATATATTGTCATATTGGGTTTTAACGTTCAAGTTTTATAAGTTTCTTTTATTTTATTTTAAAATTTTTTCTTATAGTTGTTAGTAGATATGTTCTAACAAAAAAAATTAATATACTCTCTCTATTTCAGAATAATTGATATTTTTTATTTAGAATTTATCCTAAAATAATAGTCATTTTTTTTATTTTAAGGAAGATAAATAGTTTTTTTCTATTTTAACCCTATAATTTTCTCTTAACTTTAATTATTTATCTTCTGATTGAAGTAGATATTTATTCTTAATTATTTTTTAAGTATAAAATAGGTCAAGATAGAAATTGTTTGCAAATCCTTCATTTGAAGATAAAACAAAAAATCTATTATTCTAGTATGGAGGGAGTAATATTTAAGTAATGAAACTTATTAATTTTTTATTATCACAAAAAATTGTATGATTTCCTTTTAGGATTTAGAGTTGTTGAGATTACAAATAAAATTGAATATTATGATAATATTAAAGTTATATGAAAGTTATATGGAATAGAATTAGATCGAAGTAAAAAAAAAAAAAATTTTTTAAAAGAAGGAAGAAAGTATAGATCCATAAAGAGAATATATATAAACCCAATAAAAGAAAAAACCTTGGATATAGTCATATAGAGAAAAGCAGTAGGAAAATAAATTAGTATAAAAGGAAAATAAACTAGTATAAAGTGTAATTAGTTTGTAAAAAGCGAAAAAAAAAATTGTTTGATTGTAAAAAGTGGTAGGGTGAAGAAATAAGATGTTGTTGTATTTTATATTTGCCAACCTCACCTATGGAGGTGGAAAATCTCTTTCACTAGAGAATCAGAGATAACTAATAACTCAAATAATTAAGTGTTTCACCACTAGATACTGATATACTATTTTAGGAATCTTAATAATCAATTAAGTGCTTAAAGGTTTTATGTTGTCAATTGCTACCTCCATATAAGTTTCAAATTTTAGATCTCCTATTCAAATTTGAGATTGAGATTAGAGTTTTGACATTATGAGATTGAAACGAGTTGTGATCGGGGTTTTCAAAATTTATCAAATATTTCTAAGCTATGTCAATGACTTGTGAAGACAAGAAAATCAGAGATCTATAGTCTCATTTACAAGTTAATTACTTTGGTGTTTACTCTTCCAATTTCTATAACAACAACAAAAAGAGCATTTTCTGCCATGAAAATTGTGAAAACGAGACTTCACAGCAACATGGATGATGAATTCCTTTCAAATTCTTTGATTGTTTATATTGAAAAAGAAATAGTTCAATCATTTAGTGTAAACTATATTATAGATAGATTTCGTGATATAAAGACTCGTCGAGTATTATTTTAATTTATGATATAAAAATAAGTTTTCAAAATTACAATACATGATTTTAAGACTTGAAAAGTTGGTCCCCTGACTAAAATTCCTAGCTCCACCACTACAGTAGCCATTAGATTGATGGAACCCAACAAATGCGCTGGGTTTGAATTCAAATCCAATAGCTGCTGGGTCGATGGAACCTAGTAGGTGCTTAGATCGATTTTGAACCCAACAATCAACTGGGTTTTGATGCTCGTTCTTTCGTGGGTGGTGAAGAAAGTGGCGATGAAAGTGGCGATGAAAGTGGACTCAGAGGAAAAATATTGATGAATTGATTGTTTGATTCAGAAAATGGTGATGAAAGTGGACTCAAAGGAGGCAAAGAGAGAAAAATAAGAATGAATAAAGAAGATTTGAGAAAGATAATGTTAGAGGAAAAAGATGAATTAAAATTGTAATTTTAAATGAATTAGATAATTATATTTTGACACATCATTTATTTATCTATGCTATTAAGCTGACGTGTCACAATGTTTTCACATGTCATCAATCTCTCGTGAGTAAACGAGACATATCACTGGATTTTTAACAGAAGAACCAAGTTGGGGCTAAAATAGCAAATTGTAGGGACCAAATTAGGGATTTTTTGAGTTAAAGGACTTAATTGAAAGTCCGTATAATAGTTGAGGGACCAAAATGGAGATTTAACCTTTTTTTTACCCTTTAGGCTTTTTGGTATTTTAAAAACCAATTAGCCCATAACAAGTATCACTCTTCTGTTTTTGAAATTGAGGATTTTATTTATAAGAAAGTGGGAGAGTTTAATCAAGCTCTTGACATTCCAACAACTAGAAATTCTTTTATTACTATTCATCTTGGTTGGACTACTCCTCCTACTAATTTCATTAAATTGAACATTGATGGTTCTACACTAGGTAATCTTGGTCTTGTTGATATGAGCAGAGTGTTTAGAGATGAATTTGATAGGTGGATACTGGAGTTATGTCATCATGTTGGTCACACCACCAATTTAGTAACTGAACTTTCGGCAATCAATGATGGATTGTCCATTGCCTTAAGCAAGGGTTTTAGCAAACTTGTTCTTGAAACTGATTCAAAGATTGCTATTACTTTGATTGACAAAAATAATTGTGATTATCACTCGTTGAGTACACTTGTTGCTGATTGTAGGATGTTGTTGGACCAGTACTTGATCTGTAGTTCAAGCATATATACAGGGAGACTAATGTTGCTGCGGATCATTTAGCTAAGAAGGATTGATCATTTTGTTGTGTATAACAGCTGTCCTACTTATCTTGGCCGATTTTGTACTCGGATACTATGGGGAATTTATTTCCTAGAACTGCTGTTCCTGTAGTTTATATAATTCAATTTTATATTTGATAGTATATTATATTTGAGGGTATTTATGTAATTTATGTAATTTGATGTTTTATATACCTATAAATATGTATCTCTAATTCTGCATTGAAATGAGAAGCATTATTCATGGTTTGTAACAGAGCCGCAATCCGACACCAGTCTCTTTTCTAATTTTCGTCTTGTTCTCTAGGTCTCTAGGTCTTGCCAATCTCTAGTTATGGCTTCTTCATATTCAAAAACTTTTTCTTTGTCTGATTCACAACCTACTACCCCAATTCCTCCTTTTAATGCTGTCCCCTCCGTAATTTATATAATTTGATGTTTTATATACATATAAATACCTAACTCTAATTCTGCATTGGGATGAGAAACATTATTCACGGTTTCAATATTAAATAAATAAATGAAAAGAGCCTGCGCGTACGAACATAATGGAGTCAAGAAGCATTGTCTGAAAAGCATTCAGAAATGAGAACGGATGAGACAGCATCACAGCGGATCGAAAATGAGTGGTTAGGAAACAGTTTGGAAACTGCTTTTACCGATTATCTGTAAAACTAAAACTTAATATTTATATTTTATAAATATGAGGAATTTATTTATAATTAATAATTTTAAAATAATTAAACTTGCAGAGAATTAAATAATTACAAAAGAAATGGAACTTCTTTTAAAAAAAAAAAAAAAAACCTTTTTAGATTTTTTAACATTATATTAAATTAAAAATCTTTTATAAAATAACTCATTAAACAACTTCACACTATTTATACAAATAATTCTATTAAATACTTTTTACTTATTGAGAAGAAGATTTTATTAAAAAAATTCTTCCAAATAAAATTTTTATTAAAAACCCCCACTAATAAAAGTGAGGGAACTTTAAATTGTTAAGAAATATTAAATAACAAAAAAATAAAAGAATTATTTTGAGGTGTAATCTTATTTTTTTTAAAAGATTTAAAATTTTTTAAAATACAATAAAACTCAAAACTCTCTCAGAATTAAATATAAAATTTTGACTTTGCATGGGAGTTTATAATACCTGAAAAGTCATTATTTAAAAGGATGTATCTCTCCAAAAAATATCATTTCATAAAGGTACCTTTTGATTGTCAATAATCATATTTATTTTTCAAACATATCTTTTCAAATTATAATTTAATAAAATAAAATAAAAAATTTAAAAATAATAAAAAAATTAAAAATATTCTAACAATTAAGCCCCGAGTACCCCAAGTGTCTAAATATCTATCTTTTAACTATATATAAAGAGTCAATTTTAATTTTTTTTTTAATTTTATTTTATTTAATTATTTATTAATAAAAAATAAATATTTATAAACTCTTTTAAAATTTTATATTTTCGGGACGAATCTCAAATATTTACAAACTATTCAACGTAAACCATGTGAAAAACCGAACTTTTGTCAAAACCTCTATCCAACTTTGTTTTACAGGGTACAAAACCTCTATCTGACTAAACTGACCCTAAGGTTCCTAAGTGTCCTTTGACTTTTCAAAAAAAAAAATTTTACCAAAAGCTCTAGTCATATTGAAAGCCTTGGCAACACCAAACATGCTCTAAAATTCAGAAACGTTTCTAAACAGAGAGACCTAAGGCGTTTCAGCTCCACTGTGTCATATCATTGTACAGATCAGCGAGGAACGGATCCGTTACAGGGCCAGCTTGGAGAATGTCAGATACAGCTTGGGCATCTGTAGAGACTTCTCCGGTGAGCAGGTGAACATCAAAGATCGCATGATGCCTGGCGGCATGGACATCAGCGGGTTGATCGGCGTTAGGAAGTTCGATTCCTGTTTGGGCTGGCAACTCTGGCTGCTGTCTTAGGCATTAGAAGAAGAAAAAAGAAAAAAAGAAGAACAAAAGAAAAATGAAGAAAAGAAAAGTCAGGTGACAATAAATATATATTTATTTCAATATTTTCAATAATTAGGGCAGACTTACGTGCAATTGACGCTGCATCAAATCGCCATGATCTTGAGGCTGAGGCGGTTCAATTGACTGAGTTGACTGAGAATTTTGACGCTGGGCCTGGGCGTCTTCAGGAGATGGAAGCAATTTCCATTCTAGGTGTAATAGTTTCTTAAGTTTCTTCTCAGCCTCGGATAAATCCGAAAGGGCATTCTTTCTCTGGTCATCCTTTTCACGAAGTTTACTTTTCAATTTCCGAATTCGAGAATGAAGTTCCTCCAAGTGATGATCCTTGTCACTACTTTCGCGTTTCAACTGGACAATTTCAGCCTCAAGTTTAGCTGTATATTTCACCTGTAAATCTTCATTTTTCATTTTTAAAAGCTTAACTTCGTCAAGGAGTTCGTCTCTGTGAGACTTCATTGCCTCATGTTTTTCCTAAAAGAAACGTGTAAACGGTTATATAATAATTAAAATTCAACACCACTTGTTGTTCAAAAGTGTAAATAAAATGAGGAAATGTGTAATTACCTTGGATCTGGCCTTAGATTTTTGATCTGCCATTCTTTTTCTGGTAAGCTGCTCCTCACTCATTTTAGGAGCATTTCTTTTTCTTCGTGTAGACGTTGCAGGCTTATCTAATTGCTGCGGTTGTGACTGAGTTCCGCCTACCTTCCCACTGTCTTGATTAGATATGGCAAGGTGAGGAACACACCCCAAAGCTAGCAAGGTTTGTGGTTGTGCTGTAAATTAAGGACAGAATAATTTTATTAATTGTAACTCATTAATTTTTATATATTAAACCCTCGTGCCAAAAAATCTGTTAAAATGAGAAAAAAATTCTTAATTACAACCAAATTTTATGATTATGTGAGCCCATATGAAGCCCATGTAATGATCAACGAATTTCATAAATTTATCCTAACCATCATTAATATTCTTTCAACAACTATATATGCGCTATGCACATATCCATAATAGTAAAACTTGTTAAATCAATGATTGAAAATCACCAAAACCTAATGGAAGAACAACAAAGAAAGAAGAGAGAATAAGCTCAACGATCTTTTGTTCTAAAAAAGCAAACATCTATCGACAGTATACTTACAAGCATCTCCGTTGATCGGTTGCACGGATTCACCTCCACTCTGTCCATTGCTCTCCATCTGTTGATGCCCTTCAAATGTTTTTCCCTTTTCTTCTTCGCCAAGGTGTGCTTCAGAGCCTTGGATACGAAAATATTTATAGATGGCAAAACTTCTTAAGCCCCTCAACTTTTTCAACAATAAGTGATCAGCTCCTGAACTAAAAGAGGAGCAAATAAGCCCTCCAACTCCATGATTGAAGCGAATTAACCCTTCACTAACCGAGTTCTATAACGCCATTTTTTAATGGCTTTTGTGGCATCGCAAGCCTCTAGATGTTTCTTTCTTAACTTTACTTTATTTGTTTTAACTTTTAAGTGAGAATATATTTTTTAATTAATTAATTAATATTATACAACATACATATGCTTAAGTATTTTTTTTTACTAAAATGATGACATGTTTTTTTATTTTAATCAATAATGTATTTTACTTCAATAATCCTTTTAAATCACTTCTTAAATTTAATTAAACCACCTAATTATTAAAGATTTTTTTAACATATTCCTGATTTTTCTCATTAATTATTATGAAAGAATTTTTTTTTTAATCTTTACTCTTACGAGTATATGTCAAGACTCAAGAGTGTGATAAGTACATTTTTTCATCATAAATTTGTATTGAAAGAATAAATGTTATCAATTACCTAATTAAATTCATATATGTAACAATGCTGCTAAAATTAATGTTAGTTTTTATATTTTTTTATATAAATTAATGACAAAAAGGTGCCCTTAGGACAAAAATAGGACATTTTGACACTTTAAATGTCAAAACTCTTTATTAAATATCACTACTAAAATTTTTGTTTTCAGCAACTAAGCATCAGCAATATGAAATTGCTTGTCGGTGATATGAATTTTCACCGACAAAACCCATGTTGCTGATACTTAAATAGTACACATTTTAACAAAAAGTGTTTTTTACTTTTAGCAACATGGTTCTTGTTGCTAAAAATTCATTTTTAGCAACAATGACCATGTTGCTGAAAATTTTATGTTACTGTTCATGACCGGATTTTGCATTAATTTCATTAATTGATCAGTAAAAAGTGTTCTTTACTTTTAGCAACATGGTTCTTGTTGTTAAAAATGAATTTCAACAACAAAAGCCATGTTGCTGAAATTTTTTTGTTATTGTTCGTAACCGGATTTTGCACCAATTTCATAAAATAATTAGCAAAAAGTGTTCTTTACTTTTAGCAACATGGTTTTTGTTGTTGAAATTTTTTGATTACTGTTCATGACCGGATTTTGCACTAATTTCATAAATTAATTAGCAAAAAGTGGTATTTACTTTTAGCAACATGATTCTTATTGCTGAAATTTTTTGGTTACTGTTCATGACCGAATTTTGCACCAATTTCATAAATTAATTAGCAAAAAGTGGTATTTACTTTTAGTAACATGATTCTTATCGCTGAAATTTTTTGGTTACTGTTCATGACCGGATTTTGTACCAATTTCATAAATTAATTAGCAAAAAATAGTATTTACTTTTAGTAACATGGTTTTTGTTGCTGTGTTGTTGAAAATGAATTTCAGCAACAAGAACCATGTTACTGAAAATTTTTAGTTACTGTTCATAATCGGATTTCGCTTAAATAGTACACTTTCCCCCGAAAAAGTATTCTTCACTTTCAGCAACATGGTTCTTGTTGCTGAAAGTGAATTTCATTATTTTTTAGCTAAATTAGATATTTAAATCATTTAAATAAAGAGTGAATAATATAATTATGTTAAGTAATGTGTTAAATGTTAAGTAATATTTAAAAAAGTTAAAAATATCAACTAATAAATTAAATTTTAAAGACAAATAATATAATTATATTAATTAATGAGTCAAGTGTTAAATAAAATTTAATAGATTAAAAAAATTCAACTAATAGATTAAAATTTAGATATAAAAATTAATTTTTTTTAAAATTACAAATTAATTAAAATATAATAATTTTAATCACTCTGAATTG